CTTTCTCTCTCTCTCCCTCTCTCTCTCTCTCTCTCTCTCTCTCTCTCTCTCTCCCCCCTCCACGTCAAAAACAATGTCTGTTTCTTTTTTTTTGAGGAAAAAACGAAACCTTATTTGAAGAACTCCTATATTTGTTTTGTTTAATTCAAAGGATTGTGTGTGTGTGTGTGTGTAAAGAGAGGACCAGACATCATTCCGTAGATCCCCTGACTGACTGAGCGGCGGCCGGGCGGGGCTGGACGTGCAAGTCACTTGTGTAATCCCCCGGGTCGTGTCGAGTCGCGCTGCACACGTGCGCACACTCACACACGCACACACACACACACCCGCGCGCGCGCGCGCGCACGCACACAGGCGTTTGCCCGGCATATACCGCAGCAGGCACCCACCCCGGTTTATAAACGCCAGCCGACCCCCCGGCCCGGCCCGGCAGCCGCCGCCACGCCGCTGCGCTGTTGCCACGTCGTTTTGTAGCCAAGGAAAGGAAATTTTCACGGTAAATGTGGGTCACTGGGCAACCCTGGCAGGGCGGGCAGGGCAGGGCCGCTCACGCCTCGGCTCACACCGACCGCCCCCGGGGGGCGCCGCCGGGCGCGGGCGGGCGGGAGGGAGTGAGTTTGGGGTTTATCGAGAGCCCCGGCCGGGGCCTGGCAGCGGTGCAACAACAACAACAAACAGGACACCAACCGCGTGTCAGCTGTAATAAACTCTCGGTACCGTCGTCCATGCTCAAAATTTGACGACATTTTAAACTGTCAAATTTTTTGAGTTCTAAAAATAAAAAATAAGGCGAAAATTTGAAAGGTAGATCGTAGGCCAGGACCGGGGTCTTACTCAGACTCGCGCGTCCCTCGGTCCTACCTGGTCCGGTGCAAGCGGGTGCAAGGTGATCTGAACGGATATTCGCGATAGTCTGCTATTTAGTATTATGCTACACTGTGAAAAAAAGTAGGTATAGGTTTACAGGAAAATTTTCCTTGACGCAAGTTGTAAAATTACAATTTGTAATCGTAAAAATACATGCAGTATGTAACGACTTCAAATCTCTTGGCGAGTAAAAAATGGGCTGTCGTAAGTTTACAACTTAAATTGTAAATCGAGTTTACAATTTTTTTGTAAATTTACGACGATACTTTTCACAGTGGACAGTACTTATAGTTATACACACATTCATAAGAGTACATTACCATTTTCGAGACCTTTGGATGCTTTTCCACAATTTCAGGACAGCAGCGGCAGCGCCGCCGCGCACGGCCGGGGCGGGGTCAGACTCCATGAAGTATTGAGTTGTACTTGTACCCAGTACGTCTTGGAGTCAGGCCCCGACCCGGGCCGAGTCACCAGGATCGACGCAGCATCGCGCAGCATCTCCATGACGCTGGACCACCGAGTGTGGGGACGATCCAGCTAAACAGCAAATATGTTTGATATGTGTCCGGCTTTAAAGTTGTCTGGGCTGTTTTATAGTGTAATCCGTGTGTAGTGTAGTAGTAAAACTGTTGACAGCGTTTTCATTCTTCACCTCAGTTACAACCGCCACCAACCACCAAACTGTCTCACCAGGTGGTGCCCCAGGATATGTGGGCAGACAGTCTGGCACGTGAAAAACTCTGTCTGTGTGTGTGTGCGCGTGAGAGAGGGAGGGAGGGAGAGAGAGAGAGAGAGAGAGAGAGAGAGAGAGAGAGAGAGAGAGAGGGGCGAAGAAGGGGAAGAAAGAAAAACGAAGTAGAAAGAAAACTGACCCGACATGCCAACGCTCATGTGTGTTCGATTCGCTTTTCGATAAGGGACATGTAGAGGTTATACCGCCGGGGGTGGCTGGTTGCACGGTGGAAGGGGGAGGGAAGAAGGGTTCCAAAAAACAGACAAGTTGGCAAAAACACGTGACACCAGGTTATGTGCGACGGATAGGTGCGGATTGTCATAGATGTGTTCTTTTTTTGTTTTGTTTTTTGTTTTTGTTTTAGGCGGGGGGTGTTAATACCTCCCGACTTGTTTTGGTTTGGCCAGCCGCCGTTTCAGAACCTTGTTGAAGTTGCCCACAAAAATCTCCCCTTCCCTCCCTTCCCACTCCCCTACCTCTCCCGGCTCAAAAAATGTGTGTATAAAACATTGCGGCCTTTCAGCGAAGTTTGCGAACCACCACCATAGAAGTGTGTATAGGGACCGCTATATGCTGACCGCGGTGCTCAAATGGAACCGGTTCTCTTTAGATTTGTGCCCCCCCCCCCTTTTTCCCTGCCACACCCCTCTGAAACCTTTTGTATCCGCGTTACCGATGTGCCACGTAACAGCGCACGCACACCGGCTGGAATTTCATTTACTCGTGTGCTCTATCTATCTATCTATCTATCTATCTATCTATCTATCCAGCTATCTATCTAAGCGGTCAGCGCATTTATTTATCCGTCTTCCATTGAAAACCCTCGTAGTTGTTCTTGATCTTAAAATAGCGGGGACTTATTTGAGTGTAATTTTCTTTCGAGGGATCCACTAGGTATTCCCCGTCGCGAGTAGATGATATGTGAGTATTGTGTTGACGCGTATAGGCAAATATTAGTTTCGGTTCGAAACTTTCAAAAAGCCTCCGAAAATTCTACAGCACTCTCTCAATCCTCCATGGAATGGATTAATTTATCTGGCACAATAAACCAATTTCTTCTCTCCCTTCTAAGGGGGTGCACAGCTACAATTATTACATTATTGCATTATTACTGTTAACCTTTTCCGAAACCATCCATTTTTTCATCCACGCATGCATTCAGTCGACATTCATCTATCCATCAGACGCCTAGAAAGGGGCCTTACTTTTGTAGACAAGGCTGACTTGTTCCCGCGTAAGTCATGCGGGTATGGTTTTGAAGGCTGTGAAAGCGATGAGAGATGGAGGGGGAGGCGGTGTGGTGTGGTGGCGGACCAACCCAGGGCGTGCGAGAGAGACAATAGTGTCGGAGTCGAAGAGAAAAAGGGATGGGTGTCAAAAGGGGAGAGGAGGGAGGGGTTGGGGAGAAAGGGGGCAAGTTTCGGGGCGTCCGCCAAACGAGATAAGTTTTAAAGCGTACAGACGCTTCTCGAACACGCAGCTCTGCGGTCCAGCGCGTGGCCACAGCCTCACTTCATCCCCCGTTTTTTTGTGTGTGTGCTTTTTTCACTCATCCAATT